ATTTCTCACGGTACATTTTATATATACATTAACAATTCACACTTTCAGCTCACATAGCTTTATCTTACTTATCAAGCCATTTTGGCATCTTTTGATCAACTTTCCAGCTCTTTATCTTAGTAGCAGCTACATAGCTATCAAACTATTTTCATAGTTTTACAACTCCCAGCAGAAAAGACACACCGGGATTCCTCTCTGGTTGATTATTTGTCCATGTAATGAACATGGGCAAAGAAATGTGGAGCACATTTTCTGATTGCATTTTTATAGTAAGGCCTGCCAGGAATTCATTGCGTGCAAGATCTAATCTTGGTCGGTCACCTGGACCAGAGGTTTTGTCTTCCAAACTTTTGGACTTGGGATACAGCCCATCTTCAGGGAACTTCTCTCTAGCCTCCTTTCTAGTTCCCTGGAGATGGGCTCTATCCCAAGTCCAAAAGTTTGGAAGACAAAACCTCTGGTCCAGGTAATCAGCCCAGATTGAATCCTGCAACATTATCTTAGGACATGTGTATTTGCCTTCATTCATAATTCATTGCATCTATATTTTTTAATTCCATCCTTTAAACTTTGTCTTATAAATTTGTATTTTGTATGGATTTGATGTAAATTGTCCACTGCCACTTTGGGGGGGGAGGGAGAGAAGGGAGGGAGGAAGAAAGTAGATAGATAGATAGATAGATAGATAGATAGATAGATAGATAGATAGATGATAGATAGATAGATAGATAGATGTGAATCTGCATGGCAGTGCATTCAGTATTTTATGTTCAATGTGTGATGAAAATTAAAATCACAAGGATCCCTCTTTCTCTGGCTATCTTTTTCTCAGCAGCTCATCAAAAAAAGGAAGCAAGTTGCTGAGGGAAAGAGTCTTATTTATTTATTTATTTATTACATTTCTATACCGCCCTTCTCCCGAAGGACTCAGGGCGGTGTACAGCCATGATAAAATACCAACACAAAAATTAAAAACAATTTAAAATAATTTAAAGCATTGGCTGTATTTTAAAACTCCTAGCTAAAACCCCTTTAAAACCCCTTTAAAAAAACTTATAGTCTTATAAGATAATGGTTATTTTGAAGTCACTGTTGTATTGTATTTGGTTGTGTGTGTTATTGGTTCTTGCAGCTATATCTTTTGTTTCATTTATTGTTTGTTATCTTAGCTCCAGTGTATTGATTGTAATAAAACTTTTTTTTGCTTTTGAATGTCATATCTACCTCATGCAATTATTTTAAATGCTAACACATGTGGTACAGTCCAGCCTATATATGAACAACACATTGTACTTAGCAAAAATCTTTTAAGTTAACTGAATTACAACCTTTCTTTTATAATTACTATTATAAAAACGCTGAAACATTCTAATTAAAAAGTAAAATGTACTATAGGAGTTTTTTCTGTTAAATCTCAGTGGGTTTTATAAGATGGATCTGTGCAGAGGGAAGTAGAAAAAAACCCTTCAAAAACCCTGAGTTCAATGGCATTTGCTGTAAGGTAAAAGTAATAGGAAAGCAATTATTATAATTCAGAGTTGGAAGGGACCTTAGAGGTCTTCTAGTGCAACCCCCTGCTTTCAGGAAGCCCTACACCTTTTCAGACAAATGGTTAGCTAAACTCTTCTTAAAAACTTCCAGTGTTGGAGCATTTACAACTTCTGGAGGCAAGTTGTTCCATTGATTAATTGTTCTAACTATCAGGAAATTTCTCCTTAGTTCTAAGTTGCTTTTCTCCTTGATTAGTTTCCATCTATTGCTTCTTGTTCTACCCTCATGCTTTGGAGAATAGTTTGACTCTCTCTTCTTTGTGGCAACCTCTGAGATATCGGAACACTGCTATCATGTGTCCCCTAGTCCTTCTTTTTTTTTATAAGACTAGACATATCGAGTTCCAGCAATCGTTCTTTATATGTTTTAGCCTCCAGTTCCCTAATCATCTTTGTTGCTTGTTTGTGTAATCTTTCTAGAGTCTCCACATCTTTTTTACATCATGGCGACCAAAATTGGATGCAGTATTCCAAGTGTGGCCTTACCAAGGCATTATAAAGTGGTATTAACACTTCACATGATCTCGATTCTATCCCTCTGTTTATGCAGCCTAGAACTGTGTTGGCTTTTTTGGCAGCTGCAGCACACTGCTGAATCATATTTAAATGATTGTCCACTAGGACTCCAAGATCCCTCTCACACTTAACAATTAATAATTGGATTAACAATTGTGTTAATCCAGTAAATTCATGGCAGGTGCTGCTACCCTTTAGCATTTGTATATATGTATATATTTCTGGTTGCATTAAAAAAAACAGATTTTCCAGCTTATCCAGTGCAAAATTGATGTCTTTGATGTCATGTAAATAGGTTGTAATTCTATGAAACATAAGTAACTCTCCTGTTCTAATCTTACTTATGCCATTGATAATTGCAGCAATAGCAATTAATAATAATAAATTATTAATAATTCACACACAGACAAGTAGAATTCAAAGCTGGGCCAGAATTGCTTCATAAAGTTTATTTAAAAAAAAAAACCATGGTCCAAAGAGACACTCAAGGTATTAATGGAAGATCAAAATAACAGACCTGGTTGGTTCATATAGAGTTAGCCACAGCATGGCGATGCCTGGGGTAAGTACAAATCTGATCAGGGACGATGGAAAACTCCAAAACATACAGACTCTTTGAATGCAAAGGGTGGGGGGAGCTTGGGTGGGGAGAATGCCTAGTTTAACATCCTTCCCATTTCAGGAATCACTATTACAGCAAACAGTATATAAGTCTAAATGCTATTACTATTTCCAAGCTTCCATTCAGCTTTTGCTTCCATGCCAAGCAAAGGATAAGTCCATCACATCCAAAGCATTGCTTCATTGCTGAAATGCTCTTACTATGTATTAGGATTTTCCCCTGATATATAACTGAAATTTATTCACTGTAGTTTAAATCTACTGTGTCTTAGATAATAGCTTAGATACCAATGATCTTAGTGTAGCTGACTTGCATGCTATACTAAGAATCAAACTTCAGCAGTTCCAATCAAAACAGTGGTTTTTGTTTTAATTCTTTGGAAGTAGGATATTGCCTTTGTGTGTCTTCTTCAGACTTCTTTACCAAAACCTCAGGTGAGTTCTGACTTGTGATTCTGATTTCATATTTGGTAACACAGTGGCTATATGATTTATACACTGAAAAATCTGCACTGGCTGTTAATTGCTTACTGTCACAAGTCAAAGTGTTGATATTGCCCTAGAAAACTTGTAAATAGTTTAGGATCTGACCATGAGACCATGTCTGTCATTGTGCCTCATTTCAAATTACCAGGAGATGACCTTCTCATAAATCCACTGTTGGAAGTCTGACTATCTGGTGTGTGGAAAAGCAATTTTTATATGGCACTCCGTAGAAAGTTGCAAGTTGGCCCCACTCTTTAATCTCTTCCACCATGCTTTTAATTGTTGTTTAATTTCATTTTAATGTTTGATTTCTTTAAACCTGGACTTTGGTTGTATTAATGCTGCTTTATTTACATTTTGCATTTTCTTTGTTGTCAAGTGGTAGAGTATCAATATAATAAGTCATAAATCTAAATATTATCCCAGAGTTGTATGGCTTGCAGATTCCTGTAGCATTGAAAAACTGTTCATTTTCATTTTTAACTAAGTGACCATATTGTTAAAAGTTACAACTGAAGATCCATTTGCTCTGCTAGCATTGGGAGGTCATGCTGCAGCAGCTTTTCGTAGACCTGCTCTCTCTCCTTTTGCTGTCTTTGCTTTCTCTCTTGAGTCTGCCCAACTGAGATTTTTAATTGCATTTCAGTCCATTTTCCAACATGATGTATTCTTTCCCTTTTCCTTATTGCACTACAAAGCATTTGGGCAGAGGCAATTCTCTTGATAAAATAACGAAGAGCACCCCTTGACCAAAGCAAGATAAAGACACACTGGAAAATTATTCTACATCTGAGGTTCTAACAGTCTACTAGGCCAGTGCTGGGAAAGAGAGAGGAAGAAAAAAATACAGCCCCATCTCACTATTACTTTGGGACCAGCTACAACATAGGGCTGCTTTCTCTGGCCCTGCAGCTGCTGGCCTTCTCCTCCTCCTCCTCCTCTTCCCCCCCCCAGCCTGGTCACCTACTGTGCCACAATGTGCTCTCCAGTTCTTAACATCAGTCTGCTCCAGCAGCAATGCCAGGAAACTATTTACTGCAGGAAATAACTGTGATAAGAGGCTAAAAATAGGCTGGGGAAGGAGGAAAAAGAGGGGGGCAGAGATGGAACACATTTGGTTGAAAGATCTGTTGACACAAAAGGAAATAAAGCTGTTAAAAAGTGAAGCAGTGCACACAAACACACACCAAGAGACATACACCCTCAAAGGAAAATATCTCTTGGTTTACAGCAAACCATAGCAAATTTTGGTTATGACATCCCATCCTATAATTATATAGCCTATATAGATATACTGGTAGGTTGCAGCTTATTTCTTCTGCCTTCTTGGCTTCTCTTTGGACAGCCCCAAAGAGTCTCTTTACAGATGTCATTGTGTAGGATCAACTTGCCTACCTGACTAATCACTCACAGAAAAAATATTGCTAGGGTCCCTGTCATCAAGACAGGCCTTCTGCTCACCCATTCTGGGAAAGCCTGGGAAAGGCTGCTTGCTGTGTTGCTATGATTTTCATTCTCTGTTTCCTCTTTTCTTTTTGAGAGGCTGGGGCAATTGCATCTTATTAGATTTGATCCTCTGAACGCTAAGCGTGAATGGTGTTTGTGGAGAAACCAAAGAGCAGCACCCTTTGCTTCTCCTCCTAGTTCCAAAGAGAATCTAGAGGACTGAGGCAACTCATTATATCGTATATAGAAATATAGTACTGCCAACTAACAGCTGGAGTAATGCTCAAACATTTTAATTTCACTTTGCTCTTCTTGTGGTGGATAAGAATCTGTCTCTATTGTTTCTATCTTTCCCAGAAGCCCAGCTGCAGGTGACAGCTGTCCTGCTGTTTCTGGTTTCAAACAGTGACTCACAAACCGTGGATATGGTAGTTCATGGTTTAATCAAGGTCAACAAGAATACAACAGTCAAAGAATGCAAAAAAGAGTCTCTGACAAAACATTGCTTGAATGGTTTGCTTTTAACAGGAACATTCAGAATAGTCTGAAATCAGCCCAAGATTCCAAGAGTCAGGTCAAGGTTGTCAGACAATCCAGATGTTAAAATTTCACAGGAAGAATCCGCACAAATGTCATGCGAGAACTAGAGATCAGACAGTTCCTTCCACTAAAAAAAACCTCGCCTCTAAAATCAGCTTTGATTTGGCAAGGAGTGTCATAGAACATCTCTGTTCTACTCACCAGGTGCAGAGGCTGAGAAGCCTTATATAATTATCATCTGACTGATCCAGCTGTTCAGATGATGCCTGGTTTCGATCAGCCTCGTGATCCCTGGCTTCCTCTCCTGAGGCTGACATTCCACAGGTTCAGCTGGAGCAACTTCTTCAGAATCAGATTTAGAGTTTAAGCCCTGGACCTGGCCCATAACAACAGCTGTCACTCCTGCAAGGAGAAGGAGCAGAGTATGGCAGAATCTTTTTCTTTTCTTTCTGATAGTTAGACCTTATCCAGCTGGGTGGCAAAGCACACAAGCCAAATCACCAATGGCTAACAGAACTCAGCTTGCTTCTCTAAATGTCTTCCTTGCCTAGTTGGGATAGGGGAAGTAGACTTTTTTGGGGGGAGGGGGGAAATTGTTTCTTTTCAGCTACCACCTTACACTTGCTTCACTACCATGTGGTTGCAGTCTGCCATGAACTCTGCAGAGGGGGAATGCTTGGTGGAAAGCAAGTATCTCCCTGAGATGCTGCTTTAAGGTCACCTGGCTAGGAGAAAAAGACAGCTACATACCACCCTATGCTTGATTGACGTTCCGAACACATCTTGTTTGAACCTGATTGATCAAGGAGAGGGACAGCAATGGGAGGCAGTTAAGGGAGGGAAATTGAACTTAGGGATTTTGGCACATGATTCTAAGTTCTGGCTTATGCATTACTGCAATACACTTGACTTCTAATAAAAATATACCTTTCTCAGCAAATAGAGCCAAGGATGGTTTCTATTTAGAGCATGAGTGTCAAACTCGAGATGTCATGTGACATATCGTGACTTTTTCCCCCTTCGCTAAACCGGGGGCGTGATGCATCTGGCTCGCGGGACACAAGTTTGATACCCCTGATTTAGAGGTTTAAGTACTGGCAGGTCTGACACTATCTTTCTATGTTTGTGATTTCTGCCCATCATCCACTCCCAACACACTTTCTTGGAGGAAAATATCGCTAATGAGGCAGTAATGCAAGTGGACAGGCAACTGCTGGCTGTTGAAGCCAACATGACACTGATAGATCTATTTCTGAGTGTTTTTCAGTGCTTCTGCTATTGATTAAGTATTTTTATAAGACCCAAAAATTTGAGATATCTAATCTAGACAAACCGATCATATAAGAGATTTGTAACTATATAATACTTGATCCTTTAGGCTGTATGGCATCCTTTGCATGATAATTCAATATTTATTTCTTTATTTCAAGGTAATGTTCTTATAAAAGATCTAATATGCTCAAAACGTTTTCAGATTATTTTTGATTCAGAATGGACCCATTAAGCATTTTATCAGCAAAAGGATCAAAATTATGCTGGTGATCCAATATATTCTATAAAGATTGCAGCTTTAAATGCAATCACTAGAACTAATTCACGATCAAACAAAAATCCAAATACTTGCCATGATTTCACTGGGGTTGAATAGTAACTTTTGAATTAAACCCAAAGGAGGATCTCAATTCTGAAATTTCTTCTTCCAGCCAAAGAAGATCCCTAGCTTCAGGGGGTTTTGTAGCTTAAAAATGTGGAAAATAAAATATTCATTTCCCAGCTGGCAATTTAATATCTACGATAAAAGTCTGAGGGATGCCTTACAAAAGAAAATAATTTAATAGACTATACATTCACCTACTTAAAATAATGTGAAAGAATAAAAACTAGGAAGAAGTCTTTAAATGTAAATCAATTTTGAAAATAGATTAATTTTAATCATATTTATTTTACTCTCAAATATCTCAAATATCTAAAGAATTTTAGTCCATGCATCTAAAATGAACTGGTTTCACTTGTGTAAAAATTGGGGATAGGTTTAAATTTACAAGTTGAAAACCTTCCTAGAAATCTTTGTACCAAAATAAATGAAGGAGTCAGAACAAACTCCTAAATATGGGGAGCATGTTTTTACTGAGTCCCAATGGTATAAAATCTAATATACAGTATGCCAGTTTAAAGTCTCTGTCCAGACAAGATTTCAAATTCTTGCATTAAGAAAATGAGATTTGGAATTGATGTTTTGGAGTTTTCTGTAAAACACAGCATAAGCATGTAGACGATATGTTCTAGTTCACCTATTTCAGTCCTTTCAATATTTTCAAAATTCCTAATGGCATATGCAATAGGTGATAAAAACAAATTAAAAAAAGACGGCAGAGGGCCTCCTGACCTATACCAGAACAGATGGATACTAAGAATGCTTTTGATAACATTTCTTGGAAGCTTCTTAAACAGGATTTAACTTTTTATTGGTTTCCTCAAGTTTTAGTTCCTGGCTGTTCATGAAAATCTAATACACAGCTGTACAATTCCATTTTCTGAAGAAAGCTAAAGGTTTACTTACTTAAGAAGAGCTAAGTACAACGAGTTTTGTTATATTGATTATCTTTTCTACTTCATAAAGCAATCCTTGATACCACCCCTGTTTGAATGCTGTGCAGTGAAAATCTGATTTAGGCAACAAATAATTACAAAAGTATAGATTGGGGACTTCGAAATTATACCTCGGGGATGTTAGCACCAGCACCCCTAAAGAAGTTAAGCAGTTATGCAAATCATCTTTTGCCAGTCCTCTCCATTGTTGCAAAATGTATATTTCTAAATGTGCATTTATGTATCAATTAGTGCATGAGACTATAATGAATTCCTGTGTCTCCTCCTCTTTCTCCTCCTCTTCCATTTTGATGTGGCTGTCATAATTTTCTCCCCTTCATCCCCCATAGGATAAAATTGTTACTGAATTAAACAGTGGATGACAAAGCTGCACCATCTATTATAGCTTTCTCCGTTGCCCTTTGTACTGGTGATTGTTGAATCAGTGCCAAATCTAATCTTCAGTAAACAATTTTACTCTGCTAGAGCAGCATCTGCAAAGAAATTCTTTTTTTAAAAAACACTGTTGCCAGAAATAACACAGAGGCAATTAACCTCTGCCGTTTTCAGAAAATTAAATAGAAAGCTGACATCACATCAACAAGCTAAACCAAGAAAATGTGAGGAAATAAATATTAAATACACACTTTACTCCCTCACTCAGACACCTGAAGGTGCTTTAGACCCATGAGACTGGGTTTTTTTCACATTCTCCTAACATGTTCATGTTTTGTTTCAGCTCTAGTTTTCATATATCATAGTCTACCACAATCCTAATTATTAAGTCTTCAAGTTGCACAAATAGAGGGGTGAGCAGAAACAACAGATTTCAAACAGCCCGTGTTGCATGGCTAGCAAAAAAGAGAACAAAATCTGTTCCTTTGAAACTGCATAGGAAACAGATGTACTTTTTGGCACACTGTATCAAAGATAACATCAGTCTGTAATTGATGTTGTTCTTATTAGTTCAATGTGGAATGATATCTGACAGGAGTTGCTTTACCAGCACTGACCAACTGTGCTTCACATCCATTCTTTGAGGTGCCTTACCGGATTTTTCTTTCCTGGTGTATTATCTCCCAGGAGATAATAGGATGGAGATTGATGCTTATCTTTCAGGATCTTGCCATTAAAATTTGTATGGATATTCTCATCAATATTACCCTCAATCTGTTATTATTCTATAATTAAACTGCCTAATTATTCTTCTTGCAACTGTATTCAAAGACTGCACTTGCTCTAGTCTTTAAAATATTACTCATGAAAAAATCACACACATATATAAACATCAGTGTTCATATTTTGTAGAAGACAATGAATTGACTTGAATTCTTTCTGGTTAATTTGAGAAAGCCAAAAAGACCTCACTACGTGTTTCATTAATTATAGAAGCTTCCACTGTATAAAATGTTCCATCATCTGTCTCAAAGAAAGATAATTTTAAACATCTGCAGAATGAGGACAAGTGGTAGCAGAGAAAGGTTGAGCAGGTGGAACACTATGCAGTCATGCATGCCACCAGAACGTTTTTCAGTACCGTAAAAGCAATTTATGGTCCTTCTAAAAGAGGATAGTCTCTCCCCCCACCCCCATTGAGAATGATCAAAGACTAGAAAGGAATGGATAACTATGAACTGAACACTTCTCCAATCTAATCTCTAGGCTGGGCACATTTGATCCTAATGTCCCACAGCAGACATTAGTTTGCTCAAGTCTCAGCTGCAAGTGTAGGATGCCCTAGACTTTCCTTGCTCTACTGATGTGATCAAAAAATGATCTTGTAGATGAACTCAAAGCAACAGGGCATGATGGCGTTCCTGCTTAGATCTACTAAGCACTAAACCCAAACACCTTACAGCCATTCCAAGTCATCTTGGAAGACATCTGGCTCACACAAGAGATGCCTGACAAGCTTCCACAATGCCCTCATCATGGCTCTTTATAAAAATAAGGGAAGCAAACCAGACTGCAGAAACTACAGAGGTATCTCACTTCTGTCCATTGCAGACAATTCTTCTGAACAGACTTGTCACTGTCTGTGCAGGAAGCCACTGTAACATCTAGCAAAGGAAAAAGAAGCTGTGGCTGCTGACAGAACTTGCTGGCAAACCCTTTAAGACAGGTGCCACCAAAAACAGGTTGCATCTCAGAACAGCACTTACATTTATTACAATGGATTTCCAGAGCCAACATTATGCTGGACTCTACATTTTCAGACAGGGACTGCAAAACTACCTCTGTGTCCATAGATAAACTGCTCGACAGTATATGTCTTCTTCAAACCTAAAAGAGCACCTGTACAATTATAGAAAGGCCTTTGATTGTATTGATCATGTTAAGCTGCAACGTGTGCTTAGAAATATGGGTATCTTAGAAAATCTCATTGTCTTCCTGAGAGCTGAAAGCCACAATATAGACAGAACATACTGAAACAGACTAGCTCCAAGTTGGTAAACGAGTGAGACAAGCCTGAATACTCTCCCTTTATTCATTCAACTTATATGCTGAATATATTTTAAGGGAAATTACATTGGAAGAAGATGAGCACTGTTTGAAAATTGGAGGAAAAAAATATAAAATAACTGTGCTAAGTGGATGACACTGCTCTGATGTTTGAAAATGCAAAGTATCTGCAGGGCCTAGTGAATTAAGGGGCATAGTGAAAGAAAAAAAAACAGCCCTAGAATTAAATATAAACTAATAACAACAGATGGTACAACCAACCTTAGAAATGACAATGAGGATATTAGAGTGGTGCTTTGGATTTTTAGGCTTTACCATGAATGGTAAAGGAGCAAGTGTCAAGAAATACA